ATACGTAACACTTCACTAGTTTCTTCCATTTCTTGGTGGCAGACATAAAATTAGGCAAGTAGTACTGACGCAAATTTTCCCATCTAAAGATTCTGTATTATATAAAAGCCAATATGATATATATAAATATTTATTTTGATGTTTTTCTGTGAATAAAGGTTGCTCTCAAAGAGCGAAGAGGTGCAGACTTTGTTGAAAATGTTCAACAAGTACCATAGTTATAACACTGATACATGAAGTTCTCAGTAATGTTATTAAAGTGCATATTTATTTAACATCATTGTTTACCATTTGACAGCTACAGCTGGAATACCAAGCTTTTGAATATGTGCAAGTGTGTCTTGAGCCTGTTCAACATAACATACATCTGGTCCAGTGCATCCTTCCAATCTGTAACAGAACCATAACAATCACAGTTCACTAATATGCATCACGAAGAATTAATCATACATGCTGGAAATTCAATAGCATGAGAACTATGTTTCTTCCAAATTTGAGAATGAATTTGTTGAAACACAAACTATTTTAACCTGCTTAATCTACAGCCTACTGTATCTCTACAGTCATTCCTTTCATACACTGGGAACAGAATATCGTATCACTTTGTTAATAAATATTAAAGAGAGTTCAGAAAGTCACTCACGAAAAGAGTTTTAGGCGTCTCAATTTTTTAACTAAATACACACTGAAGAAACAGAATATTGAAATGAAAATTTAACCAAAAGCTTGAGCCAATTACAAAGTAATGTGTTCCTGCATCAGACTTACATACATGATGATATGCTTTGGTACAAAAGGACAGCCCACAAGTGAAATCACAATGCATGCTGTGGTTAACTGAATTTAAGTCTGTTACTAGCAGGGCTGTGGAGTCGGTACTAAAATCTGTGATTCCGACTCTGACCTCCTTCATAAAAGATCAATATGTATTAATAAGGGTAAACTTACTAAAATGGTAAATTGTACCATAACAGATTTCATCACCACCATGTGTATCATCAGCCTACGTTTTAGACTTATAACCTATATTTATATACATGTCTAATGGTCATTGCAGAAATCAGTTGATTTGTAGACAGATTGTATTCTTAAGGTATCGGAGCCAAAGTTACAAAGCATTATTCCCACATCACGTGGCTGAACGCGACGTTGAATCTCCCTAAGTGTGAGGCCGCCTGCAGCTCACATGATACAGAAATTGTTCATAAGATTTTATATCGAGATCGGAGTCTTGTTACTAGTGTGCAAATGAACATTTTGGCAAACATACCACCAAGATCCACCTAGCAGCAAAAACAAAACTGGACGAGAGATTGGTACGAGAAATCTGAACAAACGAGTAATGGCATGCCTACAAAAAGGTCAACAAAGCATTCAAAGAAGATATCAAATAAGACAGCCGTTATATAACTGCAAATACCAAAACCAACAATACACTCAGTCTTACACAAAGGTTTTGATTGCAATGCCTGGAAATTGCAGTTTGTGTGGTGTGGCATATGGGGCTACGAAGTACCACGTACCCGTGAAACGGGCAAGTGGCCAACTTAGATTACTCAAACAGCTGCTGAAACAATAACTCCAGGGATGCTGCTGAATGTAAGGGCTGAAATCAGTTATTAACTAGAGGCTACAAAAAAGACATGTAAAAAATTTACTAATACATTCTTTCTCAGCATTTGTTCCTTAATATGTTCTAAGTGTTAAGAGTTTCTAGACTTCTAAAACCACAGTGACTTTCAGGTCATCCTGCATAGCAAAATGTAAACTCAACAAAGTTTTGTGGACTGTAAAATCATATTTGTCAATTAAAGAAATGAAAAATCAATGAACAGAAACAAATTATATGCAATGATCACTAAAAATCACTGACCATTCTTTGCAACTGATGCCAGTGTTCTAAGAAGCACATGCCTCATGGATATCCATCACTGTTCTCATATTTCCCTATGACCTGTAAATGCAATTTCTCTTTCTTTTTAACCAGCACACATTTCATGGAATCATGTCGCACTGCCCATATGAATGACCAGAGGATTTTGCTTGCTCACACAACAGTCCTGAACAATGAAAGGTTTTGAATCTTGTTATTCTTATAAAACAGATTTAGCAGACTCACTATATCTGTGTATATTTGTATATTGTATTTTTTGTATATCGAGTATGTTTGTGCATAAAAGTTAAAGTACCCTGTACATTCCTAACTGTGCATCCTCCAGATTCCAACAGAACCACCAGCATTTCTTGTCCCTTTAATAAAAGTTAAGTATCAGAATATAAAATATATGGTTCTACCAATTATTATTCAAATAAGACCAAATTAAGGGTAACATCACATCTCCATAAGCTTTTGTAAAACATTACACCAAAATAGGATGCAAAAAAACAGATATTAAACATCTCTGGTTATCTTATTTTGATAGTCATAAGTATACATTAAATATGAAGATAACCAACTACAGAGGAATCTGATGATACAGTGTCTACCATAAGATAATGAATCTTGCCAGGGACATACATACATAATCCAGCCCCTTAACACTTTCCTGTCCAAAAAAAGATAAGACCTACAATTAACTATGCTACAACCAGACTACACAGCGCAGTAACCCAGAAGACACAAATCTTCATACTCACCATTTGTTAAAAACTCAAATCTTACAAATATCAGTTCATTTATCATCTCCAGTTCGTACACTTTCCCCAGGGATATTCTGTATAATAAATAAGGGTAGCAACTGTTGATTATACTTACCGTGAAAGGGTCTGATAGTTGAACTGTAAGCTGTGCACCAAATCAGCTGTTACTTGCACAGCTTCACGCAAGGGACACCTATAAGAAACATTTCAAAAGCACAAAATAAAAGTTGAATTACTAACTTTCAAGTCCAGTCAAGCACTGACTCAGAGGTGAAACTGGCACTATTTAACGAAAAGGAATCTTTCCTAAGTCACTATATAAATTATTCTACTGCTTATAGTATTAGTTTAGTATACAAAAGATCCTAGGTTCAGTAGTAAGTGCTGTCATTAATCTTGAAACAGAGAAATAATAAAAAACCTGTCAATATTTTGACTTGAAGAAAAGGTGACTTTATTTTCTGAAAATAGTAGACTTTTCCCAAACACCACAAAAATCTTATCTTCGGGGTCGTGACTCCATGCAGTATCATCGGTCACATACAATCCAGAACACTACTGATTCAACTGACACCTTCACCACTATGAGATACCCAAATCTCAGATAAAATAACAACATTTCTGAATGCAAGATATGTAATATGAGGTGTCGCGCAGGTTCGTACCCATATCCGCAACAGGTCTCCAAGGTGAGGAGCCTCTAGTCGATAGACTAATGTAAAAAAGAATTAGACAGTCTTTTGTTGTAGTGTTTCAGAACACGTAACTGCCCCACACTTGTC